TCTGGCTAGCCTCCTCACAAAATGAACTATCACAAATTCTCTCTACTGCCCAATCATTCTACAACATGGCTAACATATAAGTTAACCCTGCTAAATCTATTATTATTAGCGGCTTTCATTGTAAGTTCTTGTAATGTTTTAGGTAAAAAGAATTGAAAAACCATTTTTAACATTGCATGTGATGTTTTTCATGTAACATTATATATATTGTCAAAACTAAATCCGCTTTCTTTAAAATCTATATTATCTACTATGCAAACATTCTAAATATTATTTCCTTTTTGTAATCTTGTCTGTGGATCATATACCTGTAAATTTCGTCTGATTTTTTCTAAACGTTTTTCATAGTGAGCTGTATGGGAAACAATATTTGCCTCACACAAAATAGCATATAACGAAGATCTTAAGTTAGGTTTTTGCGCAAGTGAGCTTAAAATATGAGTAAACCAAATATTCACACTTGGGTAAGAAATAGTAAGAAGAACTGAAATAAAAAATGTTGATATTTTAATAGCACGATTAGGATTAAAATCTTCAGTTGTTTGACATCGTTGTTTTCTTTTTTTTTGCACTACTGCCCATTTTTTTGCTATATATAAATTAATAAACTGTCAATAAAATTTTTAAGAAAATTAGGAAATCCATTCCGATATAAGTCTAAAGATTGTGGATTTTCTAAATTTATTTTATTTTCACGAATTTCTGAACGTGCTTTCCAAATAGCACATCCTAAAGCCTCTCCAAGTTTTTTTGGTTGTTCTTTAATAATTTTTAAGTAACTTCCTGTTTCAAAAAGACTTGACAATTGAATTTTTTTTAATCGCATAGAAATTTTTGTTGCCATATAACTCAGAGGATTAAATTTTAATGGTTGTGTATTAGGCTGATTTACTGAAGTAGAATGTAATTCATTTTTTATATGTTTTTTTTTTTAAGTTTTTTTTTTTGTAGAAATCAAATGTATAAATGATTACTATTTTTACCATTTAAAGTAAAATTGGTTATATGCTTCAAAAAGCTCTTCTGCAAGAATATCTTTTGAAAGTTTATCTGAAGATGTAGCAATATTTAAAATCCAGTTTCCTAAAAGCTCAAGAGTTTTAGAACTATCATCAACATGCAAATTCTTACAATTAAACGGTTCTGCTCCTCTGCCTTGTCTTTGGAAAAAATGACCACCTTCTGAATTGAAACATATAGAACAAATATAGTGAGATGATTTTTCATTTATTGATTGTGTAATATGTTTGCTCCAACTAAAAACTGGTCAAACTTTTATGCCCTGACATGGAATCTGTACATTCTTATTTAAAATATTCTAACAATGATAAGTACATTTTCTACCTCGACTAAAAAAAAATTTGTCCTTATGGCAAAAAAGACAACGACGTTTGTGAATCCAGCTTTTTTGAATAGACACAAGAGCTTTTGAACCACGTGGATGTAATCCATCTTGGTCAAAATTAAAGTGGTTGCTACAAACTCCTAATAAATTTAAAATATCCTTACTATTATTTTTAAGCATTTCTTCGACAGTTTCATAATCTAATTCCCACATTCCTATCATTTGTTTAATTGGTCTATAAGTTTCATTTAAACAATGCTTTAGTTTACCATCTTTTATTTCTGTAATCACACATTGTTTAATATTGTTATTACTATTGTTAGACCGCTTATCATCTTTAATTTCATAATCTAATTCATTTTCTTTTACTAATAATGAAAAACTACAAGATGATTCTGTATCTGTCGATTTATCTAAATCACTAGATAACCAATCAATATCGCTATATATTTCATCATTATTAGGTAATGTTCTAAAATAATCTAATGCTAATTCATATGCCACTTTATTACTAAATGTATCCGAATATAAATGATCATTTTCACTACTATCTGTATGAGGTGTTCCAGGTATTTCACAAGAGTGATCCGTAAAGCTGCAACCACTCTCATTATCAAGTAATTCATATTATTGATCCGGATCTAAATATGTACTGTCCAATACATTAATATAATTGATCGTATCAGTATCATAAAATCTTGACTAGAATCTTCTGTTAGAGCCAATTTGTAAAAAAAAAAATACAAGGCCAAAATGCTTGTAATATTTTGTTTTTCTATAAGGATACATATAAATTAGTATAATATAATAAATAATTAAATAAAAAAAATATTATTAAGAAAAATTTGTAGTTTTTTTAAAATGCGTAGTAAAATATTTAATTTTCTGCGGCTTACGATGGACTAACTTCTGGTATATTTTTAGATATATAACATTCATGATTATAAAATGCAACTTTAAAGCTTACCGCTTATTTAGTTAAATATAATCTTGTTACTTTGAAAACAATAATGCATTTAATTGTTACATGTTTTATCGTGAGATTTTACATAAACGTTTATAAGATTTTCTTATATAAATGCAATAGCCACAAATTTTGGGGGACAATGAATTTGCTGATCATTAACATAGAAATGACATTTCACCTGACCGTTACGTATTCCAGTGCTATTCATCATGTTTCATAGTCACATGGATATAATTTAAATTTAGAAATGATTGTCAAACCACCCACCCCTACAACAAAACCCCACAATTAAGAATCTAAGACCATATACCTAGTGCATTACAAGATCTCAAACCACGAAATTGAAAAAAAAACAGAAAACACAGAAAACACACTAAAAACTAATAAAAACACTTACATCTATCGTAACCAAAATATTAATTTTATTGGCATCAAACTATTTTAACTTTAATAACCTTAATTAATAATCTTAAATATGGCATTGCGTTCTAACCTCATGATAATTCAC